ATTTCACTCCTAGTAGTCATAAACGAAACAAGCAAAGTCTGAGCCTTCCTAGACAATCTCCGTCTACAGAAACAAATCTCGATTGGCTTAGACAACTTTGAAGTCTATCAAGTTGTCTCCACCTAACGCTTAGATCCTAGTAATAGAGGACAGTTATCCTGCCTTAGGCTACAAGTTACTATACTATAGAGCCAAGTTACTCTACTCTAAAGGTAACTTATCACATCAGACCTTGAGAGAAGTTACTAGATTGTATATCACATAAAACTATATAGGTTATGAATCTCAGGTTGTACAAATAATTCTTTTATAATTAGTTAAGCTTTGAAGAATTTTTAACTTAGAGGTATAGTGGCTAACACCTTCCTTCAGACCCAGTATAACTTACTAGTGTTATGAGCTACAGCTTGAAGAGTGGTTATAAGTCTAATTAATGTTTATAATTCAAAATACTCCTGTAATACTATATATACTTCTACCATCTAGTCAACTAGAAACTATTTGCAGGGTATATGAGGTAGAGGAGAAGAACTTGGAGAATGGTTTCCAGGTATTTTCAGTAAAATGGATAAGAAATGATATAGTAATATCACTTTAAAGTCTAAAGTAGTATATGAAATTCCCAGAAGACAACAGGCAAGTTAACTGAAGTCTGTTGTCCTGAATCTGTAAAGTTACTAGAAAATTATTAAGGACTCTGAGATACTAGTCAACATTATGGTATGACCTACTTCTAGGTAGTTGATTGTAGGTAGAACTCACTGGTAGTTAACCTCCAAAGAGGTTTATTGGGAAAGCTATGTGGCTTTTATTTGAAGATAAAATATAAAGAAGTAGTACCAGATATATGTTTAAGGACTGTGAGAGCTGGTAGAAGACAAAGTATATATAGGTAGAGAGTTTCATAGTTGATAAAGTATCTACTCTGATATGACAGTTTACCACTGACATGTCAGCAATATAAAGAATTTTTACTACTGTAGTTGTATTAGAAAGGCAAAGGCTAAAACATTCTTATTAGACAAATATTAGAGAATAATAGAGTAGTTTAGTTCACTGTAGAGAATCTTTAGTCTGACCAGTAGAGGCAGGCTAGACAGTCTACTAGAGTTGGGTACTTATGGAATTAAAATACTAATAGAGAGCAGTTGGTGATACATGAATTCTACTTAAGTATACATAAGTTCTCCTATGTTGGGAATCACCTACCTCTCAAAATAAGAGCTTAATAGAGTAAAAAGCTTTAAGCTTAATGATACTAAGTTTACCATTTCATTTTTTTCAATTCTACTATTGATGTATCTTTATCTTTATTTCAAAAAAGGACACTTTGGTGCAGTTGTAATCTTGAGATCTATCTTCCTACAGTGAGCTCCTGTTACATAATAATATAATAATATATATCAATTAATTTCCACTCTTAAGTAGTTTATAATAAGCTTTAAAATATTCTGATTAAATAGTTAGTTAATCTACTATTGTATAATTAAAATAAAAACCTTACTTACTATTTTAGACTCTTTAGTGACCTTAATAAAAATCTTTATATTAAATTTTTAATAAATGATAACTATGACATCCTGTAGAAATTCATATCTTGTAATATTGAATTCTCCTGGCACAAGTCACAATATACTATTAAATATACTTATATTACTACTTATTAATTTTCTCCTCTTTAGTTTATATAGATACTTTTTTTGAGTTGATAGGACTATTTGCTAATACAATTATAATTCTTCTATTTTAACAAATATTGACTATTATATATCCTATAGACACTTCTACTTCAGGAGTAAGAAACTTGTAAGATATTGACTTGTCAGCCTCAAGTTCACATAATGTACATATAGTCTAAAATCATAACTTATCACTTCACTATTAAAGTAAATCATGGATAAAAGTGCTCATTTAACAAATATCAAGAGTAGAGTCTACAATAATCTTACAATATATATAATATCTTTAGAATACAATTGGGATAAGTTCATTGTAAAGAAAAAGAAATAAACTGTAGTTGAAATAATGTGATAGTTTTATTAGGTGGAGACAAACTGTATAGACCTAGAATTATCTAAGCTAATCGAAATTTGATTCATAGACAGAGATTTGTCTAGGAAGGCTGAAAGAGTTACTAGTTTCGTTTATAACTAATAAGAGTAAGATAAAATAGAATAGAATCGTAAAAATAATATCATATTGTTAAGGTCTCTTCTCTGTTGCTTGATTATGTCTAAAAGCTTGAGAGGTATTTCAATATTTATATTCCAAATCTGAATGTTCGTGGACTAAATTTATCTTTTATACAAATTATGTACCTCTCCAACTATTTCTCACAATGTCAGGTATTCTCCAAAAGTGCAAACACTGGAAGACCTTGAAAACCATCACACCTATTTTGGTAATTTACTATTTTGCCAGTTAGGGAACTGTACTGTTTTCAATAGTAATTATCTGATCTTCAGAGTTCTTAGACTTATAGTCTAGTTCTCAAGTTGAAATGTGTTGGTCTCAACTGTCTCCATTATTGATGTAATAATCAGTTTTATTTGCCGGTACTGTCTGTAGGAGTAGTCTTAGATGCAACCTTTCCATATCATAGACTTTAAACCTCCATAACTCCTGATCCAATCAACAGATACCCACTAGATGACTTGTGGCTCTGGACAAGGCGAGAGGGGTACCATTCGCCAGTACTGCG